CCCCCCCCCCCCCCCCCCCCCCCCCCCAAGTGTCCCCTCAACACGTATCTTGCGCTCTCATTGGCTGTAAGCTCCCCGACAGGTCAGATATTTCGCCTGACGCATCGAGGAGAGCAGAGGAGAGCAGCAGCGTGCCCTTCTATGAAACCAAAACATAGCAACATACATTTTTTGTCTGTTCATTCGGTTTAGGTGCTGTGAAAAAACCCTTGCAGAAATTGCTCACCACATTTTGGCAAATTCCATGGTATGCCGCGTTTTACCGCTGATTCCATTCTGCGATTTTGTCCCACAGTGCTGATCCAGCACGATCTAAGGCCAGTGATTGAAAGCCTACCAGTCCTCGCTGTGACCAACATTAGCTTGAGCCTCAAGGCCGCTTTATATTGCTGCGTTGAATCAGCGCAGACAGACGTGCACCTCCCCAGAAATGTAGACCGCAGCAACTGTGACGCTTAATAGCAACACAGTGGCATAGAAACCCCACCGCCACATTGCTTTTTGGAGGTGTAATTGCAGAGCAAAGAAACTCCTTCTAACAACTATAAATCAGCCTTTAGTCATACATTTATTTATCTAATCATTCTCTTAAAATCAGGGTTAAACGGTCAGCTGCTTGTTTCCTCTTGGTCTCTGATAATCCCTCACCCATGCTAATCCACGTCCAACTGCTCAGAAGTGGCAGTGCCATTGTTTGTTAGCCTCTGCGCACAAATAGTGCAACTCTACAAAATATAATAAAAATACACACCTGTTGCTCAAGGGACCATAGCAGAGTTTTTACCTAGTTTACCTTACTTCCAGCCAGTGCGTACATTCTTAAATACCTACTAAAAATGTGTTTCTGTTCATTTCAGTTCAGTTCATGAGAATCAACAGACTGACACTTAGAACTTTCTTGCAGTGGGTTGTCTCTCATATTGAACATCATGCTGAGTGTTTTTTTTTTTTTTTAGCATTTCATGTTTTTAGATTAAGATAACGGTTGTGTAGCAACGCAATTAGAAGCATAGATTAAAAAAACAAAGCAAAGTGATAAGCTTCAACATATGAAACATAAACAGTGGTTATGCTATATAGCTCTCACCAGGGATGAGCCCAGATAAAGTAAGCCAAAGCTTTATATGTGAAGCAGGATTCATACACAACAAGGCAATTTAAATTATTTAAATAAATCCTTGAAATAACATGATCATCCCTCACTGAGACAAAATACTGTATATTAAATCAACCCCCCTCAAACTGACAAAGATAAGTTACTCTTTGTATTTTTGATGAATTACCACAACACCCACCCAAAAAGAGTTGCTACTTGGCAAGTCACGACTTGTTGGCCGTGTGTGTGTGTGTGTGTGTGCGCACCGTTTAAGAGGAGGGTGGTGAGGGGTGGGGGTGGACAGAATGATTGTGCTGCCGTCAGAGTGGGGGACATGTAGGATGAAAAGCGAGGACAACATTATAACATGATCATTTTGATATTGGGTGAAATATTGTAACAATGTTTCATTGTTTGTAGTAAATCAGCTAAAACACTTAAATACAAATGTGTATTCCTTTTTTTTAAAGTGATTATAATTTTTTTTTTTTTTAATGATTGAACAAAACCATAGACTGCGTAAGATATGGACTTAGACTCCGTGACGTCACCCGTAGTTTCCTTAAAAGCTCAGAGTGGGGGGCTCCGGCCGTCACCATCTCGGCAGTTAGGACACAACCCACATGGGCAAGGAGGTGGTGCTGAGGCGGGCCCTGGTGACGCAGCAGAACAGACAGCTAGCATGTTAGCGACCTGCTACGGCACCCAATCAAAATGGCCACGCCCTTAATTTAGTCTAATTTGAATCCTAATATGATTTAAACGGATGAGTTGTATAAAAATTCCCCACCTTTTTAAAGCAACGTATCCTCAGACAACGGTCCGTATGATATATTACTAAAAGTCACTCATCTTTCGTGCGTTTCCCTACGAAAGTCCAGCAACACAGTCAATTTCTGCTCGTCACACATATACGGTCTTTTCAAAATAAACTTCCGTCTTCACAGGAAACTACTCGGTTGAGTTTAGGCAAAAAAAAACTACCGAGTTAGGTTTAGGAAAATATTGTTGTTTGACTTAAAATAACCACGGAAGTGCCGTATTTAACTACGTCACGCAAGTTAGGTGACAAATAAATCTACATTGACTTCTCGTTTCACACCGGGAACCAACAGCAGTCTCCTGACTGACAGATCGCTGGTTGTTGGACCTATCCACCGGTCTTCATATCTCCTCGTTCATGATAACGTGTATAGTTGTCATGAACGAGGATATCGACTCTAGAGACCAAAACCATTATTCTGTACCAGGCTCTAAACATGCTTATTAGCTCCAAAGCTGGACATCTTAAACATGGCGGTCTGTGGGGATTGACTCCCTTTTGGAGCCAGCCTCAAGTGGCCATTTGAGGAACTGCAGTTTTTGGAACTTTTGCTTTATTTCTCAAACAAACTTAATCACATACAGTGATAAAAAAATAGATCTGTAACACCTTTTTTGAGAGGGTGAATTAAATACAAAGTACAAATTTCCTTTTTAATTCTTGTTCAACCAGCTTGCGCAGACTGTTGTGTCATTGATACATAAAAAGATAAGAGGAGACAGGAGGTGAGCATGAGGGCAAGTGCACACCAGCTCATTCCCACATCACATCATCTTGTGTTTCCATTCTTTCCCGTGCTCCCTTCCCCCTTTAGAAGCTACCTCCCTGACTCCAGACAATTCGAATGATTGTGTGGTCCCTCCACCCCCACTGTCTGTTTTCTTTTTTTTTGAGAATAGTGGAGCTGCGTGGACACGGAGGGGAGTCGGAGACAGGATATTACATAAGCGGCAATGACTGACTGTTTAGTTTAGTGAGACAGCTGGACTTACCTCACATCCTCCGTCATCCCGATTTAATGTTAATTGACTGCCGATGCACAGTTTTGTTTTGCCTCAGATCTTGCTGTTTTAATGTAAAGATTTCTCTTCAAATTACTGTTGTGAAATGGTTGAATTTCAGTAATAAGCTTGGTTAGAAACAGCATTCACATATCATAATTTTATCCAGACGGTTGTGCTCATGTTGTGCCTTCTTTGGGTTCACATGTGTGCAGGTTTTACACAGTTCTGGGATTGTCGTGGATGTACATAAAAGCTGCTGCAGAAGTTTTGTTGTTGTTGTATGCATCTTACATGGCTGTCATTGTGCATTCTTGTCCTCCACAGAAAATGCTGCTGAAAAAGAACTGTGGAGGGAAAACGCGGACTATAAAGATTCGGGTGAGTTTCTATTTAACAGAGTTTCCCACAGTAAAAAAAAAAGTAACCCTCTTGTAGTATTTTAGCGTGATGAATTCGGGCAAGTCATTTTATCTTTCAAAACCCTGTTGTTGGTTGATGGCTGTCATAAAGTTGTTCATACTAGTGGTATTAATATGAATCTACACACACACAGCCTTTTCCCTTCTATACAGACCCATAACAGGCAGTCCAGATCAGGGTGTCCCTACAGCAGTCATAAGGTTGCAAGGTTTGCCCGGCCCCCGTGAACAGCCCGGCCTGTCTCGTCGCCAGCACCTTGATGTCCATCCAACAGCATACTGGGACGGCATCTGGCGACAGTGTTTGTTCCCATGCCCCGCTAGCAACAACCTGAGACGTCTGGAAAAAACCCCTGATAGCACCGTCAGATTCCTTTTTTGCAAACAGTGCCAGGCAGTGATACCTAGGGCACAGAAACAAGAAGAAAAATGTGCGTTTTTTCCTCTTTCAGGTTCGTTTGATATCTTTATCTCAACGGCCCTTTAAATAGCAGATCTTTCCACTTCTCCCATTAGTGGTCTGAGAAGTGCACATTTACCCGCCTAAATAGCTAGGTATTTACCCAAGATTGTGTCCCGACTGATCTTCCCGTAATTATATATTTTTTGCCCCCCCAAACACAACCTCCACTGCAACCGTAACTGGGTTGATTTTGTTTGTAGAGGGTTTTAGGGAGGCATGTTGGAGGAGTCGACAGGGACAAGCCTGGGCATCTTGGCACAGAGCTGGGTACTCCAGAAGGATGCGCAGTGTGGTGAGAAAAGTGACGTTATTATCACGTTGCGTGGGTTAGTGTCAATGGAGCCTTGTCACACACTTGTTTATGTACACACACATACACCAATGTGTAGCAAGCATCTAGGTTGCTCTAATCCTCCACGTCGAGTTCGGATGAGCGGTACAAAAATTGTAAAAACTGATCTTTTGTGAGAGTGTCGTTGAGAGACGGAGCTGAAGAGGAGGTGGAGTGTGGTCGGTTCCCTGTGTGGTGTATTTCCAGGGATGAAGTCATTTTCCATTTATAGCCTGGCCGGCTGCTATCTGTTTAGCTCCGCTGATACATGGAGATATTGCTCATTATCCTCCCGTTCTCGCTCGGTGCAGTCGGTAGTGTTGTTTTCCCTGTCAGTGTCGTCTGTGGGCACTGGGTATGTTCCAGTTCCTAGAGTTTATTTTTTTATTTTTCTTGAAGTGAGTACACAGCAAGTTTTTGGATCAATGAACCATTTGGAGGCTGGTGTTGTTGACTCTCTGCACTTGGTGCCACCGAGCACACAGTGATTCCACCCCATCCCTCTATCTCTTCCTCCGCTGCCTTCTCTCCCATACCTCCCTCTCGCTCTTCCCTTCTTTTATCTGTCGACCCTGGGTTTCCTGGCCAGGATCCAGAAGAGACACTGGATCTGGATGGGGCCCTGGCTTCAAGGCGCTCAAGCATGGGAGTTGTTACAGGCGCTGAGGAGGTCGATGGTCGTGGTTGTGTGTGTGTTTTACGGGGAAGCAGTAGGAAAACACAGCTTTGGCCGCCACTGCTGCTGCTGCCGAGGCCTTCCACCCCCCCTCTCTAGGGGTTGGATGTGAATGGCAGAGTGGGGTGATGAGAGCTTCCCATGCTGTAACAGGCAAGAGTGATGGCATCTGATTTCAGCCACCGTAAAGTCTGGGCGGAGGAGAAGGAGATGATTGATTGAGGTGAGGGAAATGGTGGGGAGAGCGGAGGGGGAAACTAAATTGAAGGAAAATGTGCCGCATACGCCTTCGATTTTTGATTAAAGTAAACCGCTTGGCTTGGATGTGATGTAAAGGCATTTTTTGGGCCTTAGCTTAACAAACACATGTTGAATAGTCTGACATTTTGGGTGATTTGCTTTTTTTTGCAGAGACCTGATTGAGAAGATTAATACGACTCTCATACATCTGTGTGTTAAAGATGAAGCGACAACAAGCAGTCGGTTAGCTTAGCCAAAGACGACCTTGCAAAAAAGCGAATAAGCTGTGGATGGACTCAACTACCCAGCAGACATTTTGTTCACGGTAGAGATGTTGAGAGGCAACTTCTCACCAAAGCTTAGCGGCACAGCACAGCCACACTGACCCTCCTCACCACAAACATACAAAATACCATAGGGCACTTGTGAAATATTAAAGCAAGCCATCAACGGAAGCATCCATTTTATTTTCTACACAAACAAATATTGGATCAGACTCAGTTTGGGCAGATGGACAGTTTTAAAAGGTGCCGAATACGAGATTGGGAGCATATCTATTGCCTCCACACAGCTCTCAACATGGCGACTGCTGTGTGCTAACAGCGCTAACAGTGCAAACTACGGCCAAAAGTGCTCACAGAGCTAACAGTGGTTACCTGAGAATGGGCTATCAGCTGTGACCGCCGTATTGAGCGCAGTGCAGAGCGGCGGCTGTGAGCTAACCAGTGGGGGCATGCTCACATGCACGCGCGCCCGGCCTGGCTATGTAGTACAACACACACAGGGAGAGAGAGCGACTTCATTCTCTGCTCAGGTATACAGCACTCCACTATATCTTGACAAAGACAATAGTTGCTTGCTGCTATATTAATGCTCTTATTATCTAATACAGCACCTTTTTAAAGGACTCTCACTGGGATCAGGAGCAACAAGCGTGATCAGGATGATCAGGGCACCCCTTCTTTTGACTGAGCCCTTTGACCTTCCAGCAGGAAATGTTTATACCAGGCACTTCACACCGAAGCTCTTGTTCCGAGCCCCCTTCCCTGACCCCTTGGGCCCCCCCCCCCCCTGGGCCAGTGCCCATGCAGTAATCCAACTGAACTGTTCCTTTAACAGAGGGCTGGTAACGCAGTGTGGAAACTGTTCAAATGTGCAGATTGGGGCCTAAATCAATGACCAACAGGACATAAATGATGACAACACAACATCCCAAAAAGGCACTTTTGTGAAACCAGACAAATGAGATAATGCTGGTGTGTTTCCTGAACTTTCTAACTGCTGCTTCTGATGCCTGTACAGAAGGATGGCCTCGTACTTTCGGGACCCGTACTTTGCTTGACCCCTCTGGGCCTTAAATGTCCGTCATACTGCACATGTGACCACAGGACGAATAGTCACATCTATCAAGTTTACTGTAACCTCGTTCTTGGGCCAAGATTAGTTTTTTCCTCGTCTCCATTTTTGCAGGTTTATACTAAAATTGGTGGATAAAAGAGCACTAAGTGGTATTGGGAATTGTTGCCGTGTTACTGCTGCTCAGTTGTCAGTGCTGAATCCCTCAAGATGTCGGCTGAAGTCATAGCAACACCTGTATCCTCGCATGCACCGCTCACGGGGCCTCATTTCATATGCTGAGGAGTACTTTTTCACTAGCAGTGGGCACTCACTCGACATCAGAACAGAATCAGTCAGCTCCAGGGATGTCTCACTTCTCAGAGAGGTCTTTGGTAATGTTTGACAATGATAATATACCCCCCCCCCAATGGTCCTAATTAAAGTGAATATGTCCCAAGTTCCCAATCCTCCTTAGTCCACCTTCTCACAAGCATCAGTCCCCCCACTGGAGAAAGTGCTGCCTCACTGCCAAATCCAACAAAGTCATTTCCTGCCGTTTCCTGGAGGGAAAAAAAGACAACTGACCGGGGCTAATTTTAGACAGAGGACTTGTAGAGCCACGAGAAGCGAGGTTCTGCTCAGAGGAGGGGGGCTGGCTCTGTGAGTGGAAAAGCGCTTTATGTTATTCGCAGGGCGGATGTAAAAAAACAAGTCGGCATGAAAATGTTCATGTTTGGTTTTCCCTTTTCTCATGGTCTCGTGACACGGCCACACGTTTCTGCTGCAAAAAAGAAAAATGAATGAATGTTGACTAGTGGTGCAACGGATCATAAAATAATAATAATACGTTTTATTTATAGAGCGATTTTCAAAATTGTTAGACACTTTACAAACATTAAAATAATCATAAAAAACTATACACTAAAATCATAGAACACACGATGTTGTGTGTTCTATGATTTTAGTGTATAGTTTTTTATGATTTTATGAAAGCAGTTCTGAAAAGGTGAGTTTTGATTTGTGATTTGAACATGGAAAGATCGGTGCAGTCTGGGATGTGTTTGGGGAGAGAGTTCCAGAGGGAGGGGGCAGCTATGGAGAAGGCTCTGTCGCCCCATGTCTGGTCCCGAGTGGAAGAGATAGGAGGTTGGTATCAGAGTAGCCGACGGGATGGAGTGTGGTGGTGAAGCAAGTCGGTGAGGTAGGAGGGGGCCTGATTATGGAGGGCTTTATGAGTGAGGAGAAGGACTTTGTATTGGATCCGTTGTGGGACGGGGAGCCAGTGGAGATTCTGGAGAACAGGGGTGATGTGATCACAGGAGCGGATCTCTAATAAAAGTCCCTGTTTGGATCAGAGTCACGGATTGGATCAGCACAAAGAAAAAAGGGAGCCAACACAACTTTTAGAGATCCCTGATCACGTTTTTTTTGCCGTCGAAAGTAATTGGTGATCATTGATGATCCATATTGGCAGATACAGATCTCTTTGTTGTTTGATTATAGCAGCTGGTCTACAAGGATACAGGCTTTTTTGCCACCGTCCCAAACATCCTTTCAACCACTCTGAAGTCAGTGTGAACCATCAACAAATCAAAATGTTATCCTTTTACTAAGTTAAAAGTTAAAGTTTTGTCTTTTTTTTTTTTTCATAAAAACACACAATTCAAATGATTAGGAAATTAAAGATTGCAATTGTATTGATTAAAACAAATCTTGTCATTAGTAGTTTTTATGATGTATTATAATCTGTTTAGAGATAGTGTAAACAGGTCATAATTCATCCCTAATATCTATCTATGTTGCCGTGAAAACATCTCCTTCAAACAACTGGATTTATTCAGGTTTCTCACCAACACTACATTTACAAGATCACATGTGATGTTATAATTTACCTTCGCCCAATACTCATTTTCACTGAGCAGAGCCTGAACGCATCTTAATGTAACTGAAAAGAACATTCGTTGGCTGTTAGCGGTGCTGCTAACATTACCAGCTCTTGTAAACACAGATTGGTTGTTTACAAAGTAACATTATCAGAGACTAGAAAAGAACGAATGATGTCCTGATCACATATTTCACTGAACATTGGCGGATAATGATCATCAGTCAAACTTTATTTCACACTGTGATGGTTAACGTTAAACTGTGTCGGTAATCTGCGGTTCACATTCGTGCCCAATCGATAGGGGGAATCCGTACACATCACTACTGTTGACATGAACTGACTGTAACAGACTAACAATATCATACCTGAAGGACAGCAGGTCATCCACACCATTTCCAAACACCTGCTTCTAACTGGTCTGTTACTTACCTTGATCACTTGTCTCTCTCTCTGTCCACAGAGTCTGACAGGCAGTCGTCCTCCACCCAGGTACACCTACGACCCCTCCATCTTCGCATTCCGCTCCTTGAGCGCGGTGCCCCCGTCTGAGGATCCTCCCTGCTCGTAAGGAAGTTCACCCACCACCAGATGATCCTCTCCCCTCCCCTTCTCTCTCCATTCCTAGACAGCTGCTTTTTTTTTTGGTGGCTTCTGCGGCGAGTCCGAGGAGCGACTGTTTATGAAACCGACCGCCAGAAAAGACTTTTTTTCGACGGTCAAACTATTGCACACTCAGGTAATCCCCCCTGTAAAACAAAGCTGTCACTTTTGATCATCGTTCTCCCCCATGAAATCAACGGGAACATTCGGAGAATAAGAATGGGCCTAAACACAACATTTCTAAGGATGCTGCAGGTATTGCGAATGTCTCTGAAAAAGATCTTATGATCGGACGATCCAGAAACAAACATGGACTGCAGGTCAAAAGGCGGTACAAAGGGACGAGGTGAAGCCTTTTGAAACCTGAAATTGGTTCTGGGTTAATCAACATTCGAGGGAAATAATGCATGCAAGACAATCAACCGGTTCCGAGGTTTCCTCTTTGATGTGATTACTGGACATCTTGTAAGGTTCTTAGTAACTTCATGTACTAAACATGGCGACGTGAGTCGTCGGATATCTTGTTATTGTTGAGACAAACATAGACAGTGGCCACATTCGTATGTCTGAAAATGCTTCTTACTTGTGTTATTGAATATGCAGGTCACAACGAGCTACGATGAAACACTTATGACGTGTGTAGCCGACCTTTGACCTTGACGATGTACGCTTTCTAAATGAACTTGTCACTTTTAGTCCAGGTCAGTTACGTGCTTGTATCCTCTTCTCCTTGCATTAATTCCACTGTTTGTGCAGAAAGAGAAAGTATGCGGAGGCGAGGACGCACAAGAATAGTTCGCCGCACATTTGGCAAGTGTAACCAGTGCTTTGTTACCCATAGCCTATTTGTAGTGTGCCATTTATTGTCCAATATTGTACCTCATTACTATTCTAGGTAGAAGAGGACCACACTGGTGTATCCAAGACATCCCAGTGTTTTTCTAAAGATCCCTTAATGCCTTGAAATCACATTCCTGTTGTATCGAATGAAACTCGAGTTCTTGGCTCCTGAAATGAGCCGACCAGTACGATAAACGCAACGACCCCCTTTACGCCTTGTTTGAAAAATGCGTTTTGGCCTGATCCGATTGCAGTGGGATAGTGCTCGGTGCACTATCCCACTGCAATGGGATAGTGCATGGCCAGACATCCTCCCATCCCTTATGCAACACGCGGATCCTCTCAGCCCCTTTCAGACACGTGTTACTAGCCGGTGTCAAAGTGAAATCATACCTAGATACAAAAACGCATTTCAACGCACGGTGTAAAGCGGGTCTATGTCACCACTGTAACTAAGATTCCGCCGAAGTGAATGTAACATTGTGACATGTTGTGGTCCATTGTTGCACAAAATGAATCAATAAATGCCCTGTGGCCTCTTGTTTAGGAGATTTTTGATTCCGATGAAGATACAATACATATTATGGCGAAGGGACAGATATGTTTAAATGGCACTCTCCACCACCGTCATCAAAATACTTGTCTTTGCCAATGGCGTGGTTGACCCCACAAAGACAGTTTCTATTGTTTTTTTCAAAATACTTACCTTGAAGCTAAGTTTACCATGTATGTATGTCACTAGCCTTTTATCAAAGTGACTGGACACACTGAGCCGCAGACTTGTCAACACTCGACTCTGAATTAGCATCTTCAGTGCGTATGAGAAGGATCCGACAGAGGACACCTCTCGTCTGTTTGGAACATCACGGCAAAGATCTGCAGCCAACGCAGCAGGATCATACCCTGAGGTAGGTGTGTTTGTTTGTGTGTGCGAAAAGTCTGACGTCAAAACTGGAACCCCAAGAGAGGAAGGCTGGCTGCCAAATGTAGTAGAGAGCACTAAAGTGTAACTCACAGGTTTTGTGCAGACAATTTCTTTATTTTACACTTGTATAACAAAATACAGTTTCTTCACCATCCCGACAGGAGAGAGGGTGGAGAGTGTGGTGGTAAACCAAACAGAAGCGGCACTGAGTGGGAATCCTGCTCTAGGCAAACGCCCCAATAGCTGACTCACTGATGAAGACAATCTTGTTAAAAAGAGAACTTTGAGAAGGTTGGGCTACGTGTGTGTGTGTGTAGACACACACTCCACTTAGCTTGAGTCATTATCAGCTTGCGTTTCATCCAGTAAGCCGTCCAGATGGTCAGAAAAGTCTCTCTCTCTCTCTCTCTCTCTCTCTCTCTCTCTCTCTCTCTCTCTCTCTCTCTCTCTCTCTCTCTCTCTCTAACAAGGGGAGGGATACGGATGTAACTGCAGGAGGAGCAGCCAGAGAGCAGAAAGCTGAATTCAGATCAGTTACCTCTCCTGCTCTGTCCCTTTCCCATTTTCGCTTGGATGATATAGAATTTATAAAAAAAAAAAAAAAAAAAGATGTATTTTTAGGACAAATAATTTAAGTGCAGCCCATCTCTATTGCTGTTGTCATGGTTGGAAAGTGCCAGTGGGCTGACTGCCCAGTGTCTGCTCCCCGAGCTTGCCAGTTTAATGTGAATTAGAACGCTGTTCTTTTTGTTTATCGCAGTCTGAGAAGGGAAGTACACCCCCGAAAGAAACGATAATGAAAGGTGCAGCGCTATTATATGTGGTCTGTGTTGCAGGCTTTTTTCAAAGCTGAACCACACATAGGGACTGGGATGGGCAGAGAGGCTTCATGGTCAGAGCTAAGGAGGCGTTGTGATGCAGGTGTTATCCACGGTATAAAAGCTGGTGGAGTGGAGACACGACCTCTCTCGCTCTCTCTGTTTTCTCTCAGTAGCCGTACTTGTCGTTCAGGTGTGTGCGTCCATCTCCAGTCTGATCTGTGAGTGAATGACAAAGATAAGAGTTGAAAATCCAAAAGGATTCACATTTACACATCTATTCATGGTACATGGTCCCACAAGAGCAAATTCACACAGTAAAGTTACTGCTGACTCGTATGCAATCACCAAAACTGATCACAAATCCTAAAAATAAAACTGCGTAGCGCGATTAGCTCTGAACCTTGAATCCAAGCTCAGTTTGGCAGCTGTTTCAAAGTTTATTTTCCTTCCAGCTGATCTTATCATTATTTAAGTGACTTTGATCTGCATTCCTCAGCAAACAATGAAAACCGTCGCTGCAATTTCAGCTGCACGAGTGGACCATGAAAGCCTGTCCTACTTCCTCTCACCGTGTCCTTCATTCCTGTCCACAGTGGACGAGGAACACAAGCGTGTGAGTGTCAACAAGTGTTTTGTCAAGTTACAGACCTAGAAGCCTGTGTCTGCATATCTTGAATTCTTATTCACCAGGTTTGGTGAACTTGCGTCGCTCTTGTCGGGACAAAGAGCAATGAGGTTACGGTCATGCCGATTGACTGACCTAGGGACCCGATCGATTGGTCAACAAGTCTCGTGCAAACAGTCGGATCACTCAGGTGGTTTTACCTGTAGGAGGCACCCAGATGCAATAGTCAGGGTCGTCCTCTGGATACTCTCCCGAGGGCTGCCGTGGTGGCTGTGGAGACCAATCATGAGGAGAATTCAATTGACGGCACGCTTTTCTGCACGAAAGGTGTGTGTGTGTGTGTGTGTGTGTGTGTGAGAGAGTGAGAGTGAGAGTGAGAGAGAGAGAGAGAGAGAGAGAGCCTACCCTGCTGGGGCCTATCACTTTCTTCTTCACATTCTTTCTGGGGCTGGGCTGTGCTGCTGACCCTCCGTCTCCTCCTGCTTTGGACTCTGTGGAGACGTAGGGGTATATATCTCATTAGAGATGGTGCGTGGATACCACGCTGACGCACGGCAACCAACACTGGAGTTGGCACAGATTAAAATGGAAACGGTAAAAGCGCAGGAGCCACCTGGACTCGACGAGGCCACGTCTTGCTCCGCTGCTTCAGCAGACTCCTCGCCTGCCCTCCGTTTGTGGCTTTGCTCTGATTTGAAGTCACACAAACAAACAAAAAGTGTAATTATTAGGATATGTATTAATCTACAACATTCCATTCATAAGTTTGCATGGGTTACACATTTCACTTTTCTTTATATAACTGCCTAAATATGATGAGAAATAAACTACGCTTTTGTGTATATATTACAGATCTACTGCCACCCAGTGGCAGAAGAGATGCATTGTAAAACTTATCTTTTCAATTCTTATTTATCATTTTTATACCTTTTAGCTCTTGTGACCGTGCTGGTTGCCGTCTCTGCTGCCCTGACCGAGTGCTCTCTAGAGACATCGATGCACCGGACTCCTCAGAGTCCGTCTCAGGAATAGTTGCACACTCTTTATCGTCATCCTCATCTTCCTCTGCTGCTGCCTCCTCCTCCTCCTCCTCCTCTTCTCCACTGGGTGGAAGTTCTTTCATGTTGAAGAGCTCTGCGGGCAAGTTGGGCCGCTTCAGAGGCAACTTCTACAAGAGAGAGGAAAAACATCAATGGAGGAAATAGGCTGAGCAAAAGAAGGAAAAAGAGAGGCAGATGATTAGACCGGGTTATGAAACATGAAGAACACCACCTACCCCGATGGTACCAGTCTTCAGTTTGAATTTGCTTCCCCCCTTCATGGCTCCAAACAGCGGTAAGGTCTTTTTGGGCTTCTCTGCCTCTGAGCTACCACTGTCACACCAACACACATCAAAAAAGCTTTCAAGTATTTCAATGCTGCCTGGTATAGATTGGAATCAAATACTTTTTCATGAACTTCTCACACTCCAGAGAATGCTTAAAAGAAGCAACAGAGACAGAGCTCAATTAAGTTCCGCCCACAGTGGAGGGGAAAAACAATATGTGGCTCTCCATTGACTGTGTTGTGAGAAGGTGGGATGCACGACCAACAGGCTAAAAACAACTAGGTTTTAATGAGCTGACCAACCTCGAAGACTAAGGACACAGGCGATAAGATGCGAGGCATCAGCAGGAAGAATGGGAGAACTGACACTATATTTCTGGAAGTTAATCTAGAGCATTTTGACATTGTGCAACTTGTGTTCGGAGAGCGACGCAGTGTTATGTTTGTTAACTACAGTAGCTTGCTAACAGCTAACTTGTCCCGTCATTGTTTTTAGTCCCCCCCCCGGTAGACGTAGCGTGCTGAAATAATCTCCAACAATGCTGACATCTGATGCTTTTAGCTAGCTACAGGCATTGTTGTTAGCATTTCAACCCGTGGGTTGTTTTCCCCCTCCGGTGGGCGTGGTTTACAGAGTATGGAGAGTTGTGCTTCGTCTCTGTAAAACACATTCCCGTGCTTGTCCTTAACTTAATCTGAAAGGAAAAAATGTGTTTGTATTTGCCATTATATTCTCAGCAGTATGAGAGTGTGTCTGACCTCGGCAGCAGCGAAGGCATCCGGGCGGGCCGCGTGAGCTCCACCAGCTTGCGCAGCCTCTGCGCGTCCTTGCGCAGGTTGGCCACGTGCACGTGAAGCTTCCTGCGCTCCACGGCGTCCATCGCCGCCTCGCTTTGCACTGCGGTCATGAAGACATCTAGCGGGTCATCGGCCGAGGAGCCGGAGGAGTCTTGAGAGGAGGAGATGAGAACACAAGATTAAAACAACGAGCAGCTGTTGGTATCGTAGCATCCGTCCACAGTGAACAGTGGACCCAGCCCATCATGACTCACCTCCCCTACCGCCGCTGAGTTTCTTCTGAGCCTCTGCCAGCTCCGTCTCCACCTTTGATAGTTTGGCCACCTACATGAAGATCAAATGCATGAGTGTTATCACGGAAACAAACAACGTGCTGAGCATCGCAGTAGTCGTGCAGTTTACACCTTACATTATAGAAAATCTATCATAGAAATGTAAGAACATCTTACATTTCTATCATCAGTTTTTGGCATATTGTGTTGCATGCCAATTTGCAAATGTTAGCATTGCTAACACGCTAAATTACGATGGTGAAACATTACACCTGCTCCACATCAGCATGTCAGTGTGAGCATGCGACATGCAGCAGAATATTGTAATATTCCCGAGTCATATTTTTTTTACCAGCGACTCATAGGTCTCGGGCCGCTCATCGACCTTTCCCGCCTTCTTCATTCTCTCCTGCCTCTTCTTCTCCACGGTGCCGGTTCGATCCAGGAAGGTGTCGTCATCGCTGTCGTAATAGTCCTCGTCTTCCCAGTTCTTCTTCTTGCGCTTACGGGACACTAGGCATAGGAAGTTAAACAGGGATAAGTACAAGCCAGAACCTCTCCAGATGGTGGTCCATACTTCGGCTTCGCACCTGCTTCCTGGCGGAGGAGCCCTCTGGCTTCCAGCATTCGACATGCCTCCAGGCAGCACTGGATGGCTGCATCTTTCTTCTTCCCTGTGTGGGTTGCCTCGGCGACCAGCTGCCGGCCCACGGCATCGTCCACCGGAAGCCTGACAGAAACGTGAACTGTGTGATACTACACCCACTTTACAAGCATTCTGACGGCAACGCTTTTTAAACTGCACAATCGTAGATTTGGGGGTTTTCACGTCACTCACTTTATCCTGCACAGCCAGGTGCCGTGGCTTTGGTCTTCGTACTCAAACTCAAGCTCCTCCCCTAAAATGACAGGATGCCGAAGTCGAGAAATTCAAGAAACACAAGAACTATAAAAAAACAAGAGGAAAGCGCACGTCTGTGGATTAACAGGACGTCTTCTCACCTTCCCTGTCGTAGAAGCCCTGCAAAGCCTTCTTTGGGTCTTTCAGGTAGGCGGCTTCCTGGTCCTCCTGGAACTCTGTTGAAAAAGGGTTTTCCTCGTTCTCGTCCTCCTCCGGAATGGCCTCCTGGTCTGCGGGGTTGGTAAACGGTAAATGGAGACAGGTGGAATTAAAAAGGAAAGGAGAAAAAGGGATTACCGTGCTACTTTAGTTACTCGCCGAGAGTGGCATACAGTGGCATGATCCAACGACAGGCGGGAAAAGCTCACCCATTCCCCACGAGCAGCCGGAGTCTTCGGTTGACAGTTTGCTCTGGCCCTTGCTGCTCTCGCCTTGCCTGTCTCCCTCCTTCTCCCCACCATCATCGCCGTCGTCATCATCATCAGAACCGTCTCCCATCATCCTCTTCTCCAGCTCTGTCTTCTGTTTTCGGGTTTTCTCCCTCAGCTCCGTCACTGTTAGCTCAGACTCCTCTTCTTCATCAAACTCTGGACCCTGTGGGAGGAGGAAAACACAGCTTCCTTGTCAAAAATCTGCCGCCTACATTACCCACAGTGCAACGCACCACTGAGATTCCAGTGGGATTTGAATGTGTTATGCTAGTAGTGGCTAATGATTAATGATATTCATTACAAAAAAGGTCTCTTCAACTTTAGTTTCACTCCACCTTCTTGTGCAATGGCTCGGTGCTCCACTAGGGGGGGGCTACCTACCCATTTAAAAACAACAAACACTGGTGCAGTCTATTAAATACATAAGTCAGAAATGCCCACAATGCAGCATCTACAGATTTCTTGTCCAAAATGAAATACTTTCAATCAACAATGATACAAAACTGGAACCAGCAATTGACTGTCATTTCTACTTAATAAAAAAGGATGATCAAAATAGTTCTCAAATATATTCTTTTGCTGTTGAATAAAGTTGTGGTTGCTAAATTTCTGCTTGGCACAAGATTCACAGATCTACACTAACATATATATCCTCCAATGGCTCGTTTTGTACGAATCTAAAAACATCCAGTTTAAAACAAAGAGAAAGCCAATCAGCAGTTAGCCATTGTTGGGAAGCTGGAAGTATAAAAATGTTTAGCATTTGCTTGATAAATGATTGTTTTGCTGAGGAGTGATTTTCTGTCTGTTGACATCAGCGTTTGAACTAATCTTTCTGCTTCTGTCGCAGATGCAGGATCTCTCCGATTTGTCTGTGAGCTTACTTGATGAAAAATATATTCAGCATGTTTTTTGAAGGCTTGAACGCTTGTTTGAGACCCGTAAGAAGCTACGGCAGGTTTAGTTTAGGGTTAATAGAATCAATTATGAGAATAGTCTGGGCTGCATAATAAAGATATTTGATCTGAGGGTTTTTGTATTCCCTTATTTTGGTATGTTTATTTTTTTCCCCGTTTGTGTATGTAGTAAAACAATAACAAATAAAATGATGAATCACAGTCCTAAATAGAACTAGTGAATGTTATTATATGAGCTCCAAGGTTAAAGAATTGGATAACCGGCCCTTGACTGGAGTGGAGACTAAAGTGACCCATCCCAAAGCTGTCTATGTTGTCTATTCATGTCAGTGTATAAGTGGAGGTGTATAATCCGTCAGGATTTACCTGCAGGATAAAAAGCCTCGTGCTCCCACCGAACTTTAAGACATGTCCCACGCGGAGCCGGATGTAGGTCTTTGGGGGAACCTTGTTCTTGTTCACCACAGTACCGTGCGTGCTGCCCAGGTCGTGGAGGTAAAACCCTCTCTCCTCCCCGACGGACTCTCCCTCTCCGGCCTGTCGGCGGTACTGAACTATGGCATGGTACCTGGAGATGGAGGGATGCTCCAGAGAGACGTCACACACCGGTAAACGTCCAACTACGAAGTAGCTTTTCAGCGTGAGGGGTACCGTGTCCACTATGGTGCCGTTTTTAAGGATTTCCAGAGCATAGGGGACATCCGGAGCATTGCCGCCCCAGGACGGCTCTGTGTATGGGATAGGGGGGAACGTACCAACTGGGGGCCCTTTAGCAGGAAGCACTATGGGTTTAGCTTCGAGCTTGGTTTTGACAGGAGCCACAGTCTTGTCTTTCACGTTACCGCGGTTCTCGTCCTCTTCTTGGCCCGTTTCCGTGGTTCTGTTTTCAGTTACAATACCCGAAGAACCCTCACTAATGGCGTCTACAGCCTCGGCTTTGTTACTTTCCTTCACACGTTTTGCCTCGGCCGCTGTTGATTTGGACGGAGCAGCGACGTTACTGCGTTTGCTGGCGAGGGAAGGCGCCGCGAAAGGGGCCGGTTTTTTAAAAGTGTCCTTCGTTTCTTGGTCGGCTCTCGTTTCGTGTTCGCCTTCGTTCTCTGTGGCCGAGCGCTCGTCCTTTTCCATTGCAGAGTTCATTTTTCCATCCGAATTATTCACACACAGGTCTGACAGCGGGGAGGCGTCCATGTTTATTTGGTGCGACTGTGAATTTTGCCCGGGTTTTCTAAGCCTCTATAAATCCGCCAATTGAGAATTAATTCACCTAAAAATTGGAGTCGAAAAATAATTTTAAAACACGGGTAAGCGGCATTTTGATGAAATTCGTATTTTATACAAGTCAAAATAAATGGTTTGTTGCGGAACTAAATACCTTGTTTTGTGTTCAGCCGAGTTTATTTGCAAGACGGACGAAAATGCTTAGTTCCGGTGCAACTTCCTTCAAACATACAAGGGATATTGGTTTCATATGTTAGCAGACGCTTTATCCATCCCTGTGCAATGTGAGTAGTTGTTGCGTTTTAAGTTTTTATATAATTTAACTAGCTAAACAAATATGTTACGTACTTAGCTAATAGCTGTTTCGTAGCTTCGTCGTTGCTCCTCCATGAATGAGTTGTTTGTTGTTTTCTCTCTTGGATGCTCATGCTGTGCCAAACTCCAGGCAGACACCTGCCATAAGTTGTTGTCTTGATTTTCGGCAAACAAACATACGTGTTAAACCTCAACTTCAGAGCTTCAGTTAATCAATGCAATTTACTTTTGTATACGGCATACATTAAGTCCACTTAATTGCGTTTTCCGATACCTTTTTTTCAGCATTAACGTTAACATTACATCACCGTTACCTGCTATTCATAGTGTCTTTTTTATCATAAAGGCATGGCTATAATTGCTTTTTTTTTGTGATTGGTCAGATGTGTCTATATAATCAGAAGATAAGTACATTGTTGTAACCGGACTTAAAACAGAGTTGTGCACGTTTGCCTCCATACAATCAGTTATTCATTCCGCAGCTTTTGAGTTATATTTAGCGTGATCGTCCCATGGCAGTTAAAGTTTAACTTAGTTGCCACTCTGAATCAGCAAAAACATCAACATTTAAGCTATTTTGAAAAGCCAAACAGAGATGTAATCTTATTTTAAGTTGATTGAAGGTGGTGTCAAATTTATAGTTTTCCATTTTGTTCTTATTAATAATGTGATGTTGTTTTTACCAACTTCATCCTTGATTGTGATGGTCACTCCTACTTCCTCTCCACCTTTCCAAATCCCAGATTGAATCCGAGTTTGAATCCGGCCCGTGTCTTTCCGGCTTTGATCACCCACCATGATGCGTTACTGGGGCGAGATCCCTGGGCCGGCGGGGGCTCCTCCCAGTCGCAGCTCCTTTGACTTGCTCCAGCGCGAGTTCCGCTCGGTGGAAATGCAGGACCCTCCCCTGCACCAGCCCTCGGCCCAGCGCCCGCGGCCCACCACCATGTTGGACATCCCCTCGGAGCCCTGCAGCCTCACCATCCACACAGTGCAGCTGTGTCAGCATGCCCGTCGCCTCCGTGGTCTCCTGTCGGCGGCTCAGGGTCAGAGCTCGGCGTCCTCTGAGGGTGGCAGCAAGCTAGAGGAGGCTGATGCCAACCTGCCTCTGCGTCCTCCCACCCCACCTGTTATGCCAGATGACTTGCTACCCGTGGACAGCAAAGCCCCGCGGCAGCCCTTCCTGCTCCGCCACAGTGACCCTGAGAGTGACTTCTATAAGTGAGTTAATCTGACCGACTGTGTGGCTGAGCCAAGATAAATATTGCATTTCACACATAAGATCTCAGACAATTTATCAACCAGTCATCATTCATCTCTTCTGGCTCTTTCCATTATAAGGGGTAAAGGCGAGCCCGTCACGGAGCTGAGTTGGCCCTCCTGCAGGCCGCTCCTCTACCAGTCTGTGGCCACCATCTTGGCCCACGCTGGCTTCGAGTCGGCCCAGGAGAGCGTGCTGGAGACCCTGACCGACCTCGTTAATGAGCATTACCTGCGCCTCTCTCGCATGCTGCGCGTGGCGGTGGACCGCGAGGCTCGGCTAGGAGCGAGTTCCTTCCCAGACGTGGTGGAGCAAGTGTTCCACGAGGTGGGCATTGGCAGCGTGCTGGCCCTGCAGCGCTTCTGGCAAGTGCGGATCAAGGACTATCACAGCTACATGCTGCAGGTGAGGTTGGGAATGGGTCATAACCGTTAATGGGTTGTGCCATTTGACAATCTACCCTGTAAGACGATATGAATACGTTAACCATCCATGATCTTGGCTCACTTTTTATACAGTGCTAATCTTTTTTTAATATGTGTGGTTGTATTATGTCATTGTGGCCAATGTTGCAAACCAATGAGCAGCACTGTTCTTTATGCATAAATGTGACGAGGTGTCAGGTGGATTGGCTAAAACCAGATATTCCTGCCAATTTATGTCATTTGATCTTCCAGAAAATGTGTCATATGTCAGTAAATATAGATATAAGATATAAAATGACATATACCACGACAAAGGATTTTATGTGCGCACACATTTATTTATGGTATTTCCTTTTGCAATTATCTGAAAGTTGCAATGCATCACAAAGCATATTACTATGCAGTGAACAAATATTCCATTTACAGAAAATTAATCCTCAGCAAGTTTAATAATTAATTGTTGTTATGCAAAAAACATTTTCTTGTTCCAGCTTCTTCAATGTGAGGATTTGCTACTTTTCTCACTTATTTTGATTGTAAATTGAATATTTGGGGGATTTGGGACTTTGGGATGCACATACAAGACATTTGAAGAAAGGGTTCTTGGCAGCATTTCATAGTGGGGATGTCCCACCTCAGCTGAAGTATAGATCACCGCCACTAACCAACGTCCTCGGGGAAAACACTAGGACATGTCATTATAGGCTGTGAAAAACTATGGACATTTTGTAGACTAAACAATTAATTGGAGAAACAGTCCGCAGATGAAATGATATTGAAAATAATTCTGTTTGGCACAGTGCTGAAAAGATGTTTGTAAAGGTGGTGTAAGCTGCCAGGGCTTCGCCACAACAATGCTGAGTCATCTCAGAAAGCATAAAGAACTTTGTACGAGTAAGAACAATGGGCCGTACGGCAACTTGTGTGCAAGCTGCTTTGGAAGTGAGACAGAATACAAACTGAGAGATTCACTGTCTCCGGTGCCAACGTGACTTCTAAAGACTTACAACCGATGAGCTCTGAGAGCAGAAAGTAGAGCTGATTCTTTGTGTTTATTAACTTTTGGCAAATCACCGAATACAGTTTTCACAACGTGTTGGATCATGTTTCATATTGATGAATTCAAATACTAGATGATGTAGGCTCAGCTGTTGCATGTCTTTTATCTACGAGCTTTCACCAGTGAAATTGGACGAATATAAGATTTTCCTCCTCCAGATGAGCAAAGATCTGTCGGAGGAATATGAACGACTGGTGAACCCAGAGAAGGCTCTGGAGGACTCCAAGCCCCCAAGGATCAAGGAGGAGCCCATGAGTGATATCTCCTTCCCCGTTAGCGAGGAGCCTGAGGCTGACTTGGCCTCTGGGGACCAAGCTCTGCCCATGGGGGTCCTCGGGGCCCACGGTGAGAGGCTGGCTTCGGGTCTGGATGGTGACCATTCTCCTCGCGCCTCAGGTGAGACCATAGACTTTCTTTACAAACGTCACCGGTCGGTTTGAAAACTGCCGCTTCGAAGCCTCGAGATTGACATTTTGGCCTTCGCCATCTTGGTTTTCGGAGCCAGGATTGACCGTATTTGGACAAGAGTGTGTAGTCGTGGAAGAGCGAGGCCCAGCGGGCCAAGTACCGCTAGCATAACAAACGCTAAGCGACCAGCTAGCGCTAGCTAGCTACATTGGTTGGCAAGGTGCAGCTGTAGTTTAATGGGATACTATGTTTGGCAAACAAAAAAAAGGTTTTAATCAAAATGTGCATACTGCAAACCTGTCCCTCAAAGGGGCCACATCTTTAAATCATGCATAACTTTAAGCCGTAATATAATTTCAACGGGTGACTCGTATAAAGATTCACCTCCGCCATACAGTTGTCATGAATGGGTATATTAACTTTAGAGATCAAAAAGTTTTTTGTTGCACCAGGCTGTAAACGTTTTGACAAGGGGGTCTATAGGGATTGACTCACTTTTGAAACCAGCTTCAAGTGGCCATTCCAGGTACTGCAGTATTTTGGCACTTTCATGGTGGCTTCATTTCTCAGGCCCCGGAGGTACCGATTGGCACTGATGAGGAGGCGCCCCCAGCCTTCTTAATACCACTTGGCAGCTTCCTAATGAGCTCTCTTGCACTGCTTGTAATAAGGCTGCTTACATTATGAGGCTGATTTCACAAAAATGTGTAGAGTGTACATGGTCCTGATTAAACAGTACCTATATCGTTTTTATAGATGCAGATATTCTGCAGTTGGCTAATTTACCAACCGTAGTCTGAAGCTGGATTTATAGTCGAAAAAAACAATTCAGACCGCTCACTGTATGAGTGTTGATTAATTGACTAACTACTCTTTTTAAATGCACTGGATTATTTATTTTTTTGCTAAATTGGTGCTCCTCTCTGATAAGGTGGGGGTGGGACCAACAACTCCCCACTGTGGCCACAGGTAAAAATGGAGCCGCAGGATGTCGAGGAGGGCCAGGGCGCTGGCCACCACCACCACCACCATCACCACCACGCCGTCTTGGGCGGAGATGTGTTCGAGGAGGGCGGGCCCATGTCCACCTTGAGCGAGTCGGGAGGAGCCATGGCACCCTCTCCCGGGGGTGCGGCGTCAGATGCCAGCTACGCGTCGCATTCGCCAGACTCCTTGATGGCCGCCTCGCCCGTCTTCAACCAAAGGCCCAAAAAACGGGCGAGGAAGATGTGAGGACATATTGGTGGACGGCGGAAGCCCTGAGAAGTGGACTCTGAACTCACCAGCAGCAGACAAAATCTGGCGGTGAATCACACCAGCTGTGCAGCTGTTGATATTAACGGCCACTCCATAAAATGACGTAAATGTGTTGAATGACCTGAACTGATTGGGGGGGGGGGGGGTCGTTTTTTTAGTTTGTATAGTTTCTCTCGAAGACATTGAATTCATAACGGGGTTTATTGTTAAAAGAATAAACATCTTTCAGAGTATCAGTTTTGTCTGTTTGAGTTTTATGAAGTGCTTTTCAGAAAATATAGGAGGTGACAATTAGCCCTAATGAATTGGAGAACAGGAAAAACTAAGTGGACCAAAAGCAAATCATTTTGTCAAACAGCTTAATAATTCAGCAGAATGGGTTTGTTTTCGTAGAGCTATTGAGTCCCTTTCTCCTCGCATACCAATTACTCCCATTCATTAGGATTACAAGATGCTCCACCAAAGGACAACACCCCCGTCATGAAGATGCCGCTGTATATTATGATGTATTCCCTTTCTGCGGTACACTTTACTGTACATGTAGCCCAACACGGCGGAACGATCTACAAACGCACACACACACACAACTACTTCACACACCTGTCAACCTGAAGCCGCTCTGCTAAATTAGCATCTGTTTCAGTAATGAGGCAAAGCTGCGAAACGCAACGCCAGAGGCAATTATGGCTTGGTTGTCTGCATCGTGACGACGACATCAATCCGGTCTTAATGGCAAATTAATTACGGGATGCGTAATTCTGCATGCTGAAGGAGCAGGCCCCGTTTGAATACATGTGATTTCTCCTTTGTGTAGGCGCCGCCTCCGTGTTCACAATCAGGCAGGTAATTGTCTGTGCCTAGGGGAGAGTGCGGATGGGGGGGGGTCACGTATTGACATTCAATAAGCAGCATTGATAGTTGATTTAGCGTTTTTTGTGCTGCACCTTCAAAAAAAAATGATTTGAGGTGCTGTGGGATGTGGAACAGCTGGAAAAACAAGATCAGTAATCCAGACTTCTCAGTTAACCCTGTTGATGCTAATAACTGAGCAATGCTACTTGCATCCAATAGGAGTCCTGAATTATTTTCTGCTCTGACATTCTGCCACATGTTGCCACAAACACCACAGTTGCAGTAAAAAGGCGACATCAATAATGACTTCATCGCTTCCAAACTGCAGTCACCGACCTCAAAACTAAATCAGTGCCTTTTATAGAAACAAAAATATTCACACAACCATTTAAATGTCAGACTTTTACATACATGAGTTATACTCCTTGGCAGAAGGATTTATGTGTGTGTATATATAATATAAAAACATCACAATCTTGGTTTCAAATACCTTTTTAAAGAAAAAATGAACCATTGAAATGACCATTTTTAGCCACATTAAATGTGCGGCTCCATGGATGTCAATACTCGGTCGGTCCACCACTTTGGTCCAAACTCAACATCTAACAGCTGAATTGGCATAAAAGTTTGTACCGACATTTACGGTCCCCAGAGGATGACACTTCCATCAGCCTCAGACATTGTTTGGTGCCAATTAGCAAATAGAGGCGTTCTAACGCTCTAAATGAAGATGGTGAACATCACACCTGCTAAACATTACCATATTAGCATTGTCAGTATGAACATATTTGCATTTTAATATTAGCACTGCTGTCCCTCAGTGCAGACTCCCATAGCCAAGCTAGCACGGCTCCACATTGTGTTTTACACGGATTGTGTAGAGGCTTGTGTAATATTGACAAGTCTTCCACCAAAACAAATATTACGGTTATTTTGTCGTTTCCTTTGTAAATTATTTGTACAAGTATTTTCTAATGGGGTGCCCAAACTTAACTGGTTAAGTTAAGTTTTAACTCGTATACTGTATAACTGGTTTTCATAGCTGTCAAAGAAATGTAGTAAAGAGTACAAAATTCCCTTCTGAATTGTAATGAAGTAGAAGTATAGAGAAACCAGAACAGAAACACAAGTACAAAGTTCAAAATTGTGCTGAAGAACAACACTGTAAATAATATAAAAGTTACTTTCCACTACTTGTGACAATCTTTCTTTATTCTCCAGGGAATATTTTTTTATTCAAAATAATAAATCAACAGCTGTGGTCATGTGACTAACAGGTGACACTGCTCAAACACTTAGAAAGTAAATCTGTTGCTGAAACTAGTTGTGACTGGTGGGGGTTGAATGGGTTAACATACAGCCGTGTTATATCTGTACTGCGGCAATGTGACCCCTCAGTTTATCTACAGCTGCTGAGTGCGTTGCGCTGGGGAGAAAAGGTGGAATTACAAAAATGTCAAGGTGTTTTTTTTATTAGTTTTTTGAGCGGGAGGTCTCCGAGAGGGGCCAGAGAAAGGACCCCACAAATGATTAATTACCTTTTCCACGTGAAATTTAATTTCTCCAGCCGAGTTTTGAGTTAGCGAGCGGAATGAGGAAGACTTCAGTGTGCGTGACGAGCTCGGATTGTCCTTCAGGGCGCTCATTTGTCCGCTTTTGAGTAAATCACGCAAAAGGTGGAAACGAGACACTCATTCAAAAGTAATGTCCTCATAGGGTTTTATCAGAATCCTATTTATTGTAATCACGTCAGAGATACCGTGGAGACAAATAATGAATTACGAGACGGGATGATTGTATCAACAAAAAAAGATGAATTGGCAGACAAATGGGATGTGACGGATGAAAAGGTCCACCTGCCACAAAAGCTCCACCTGCCACTGCTACAGCCATGTCACTGCACCACAGAGATGAGAGAATTGGTTGCACACAGCTTCGGTGTCTCAGTCTGAATCAATCAATGGATATATTTTCTCCCAGGTGATGATGTGACTGAAACTGTCAAACGAAGCAGGAATTGATGCAGTCTCTTCCAGGTGGAATTAATCCATCATCCAGTTCAATTTCTATTTTTGGGAAACACTACATCTCAACATTCACCCACTGACACAAACATACACTGATGACTGAGGCTGCCACTTGCCCAACAGGTTCTAATATGCGGTTCTAAATTGTCACACACTCACACAGCCTTCAAGAGCAACTTGGGTTTCAGTATCTTGCCCAAGGACAGTTGGTGACATGCTGACTGGACGAGCCGTTGATCGAACCTTTCACAGGAGAACCTGCCCAGTGTCGAGAGCCGTTGAGAGGCAATAGATATTATCTTAATTTCTCTGACATCACCTTTGAGTACTTTATCTTAAGTATTGCACTTCGCTACATTTGAAGCTACATTCGTAACAGAGTAAAAAAACATGAAAAAGTCCAGATAAGCGGCGTGAGAATGGAACAGAAGACATCAGCGGCTGCACCGTGCAGAGAAGAAGCTGCAGGTGTGTTGCGAGGCTGCAGGAGGGTAGAGCAACAGAGCGGGGACACTCTGCACACAGCTCACACTCCTGGAAAACATACATGTTTGTAAATGTTTACTGGCCGAGCGTAAGGGCTGCGAGGGGGAACAGCATCCCAGGCCGGGACAAGCAGTGAGTGAACAGTACCAAAAGAAAGCACAATGATGCAATGAAATGAGGATGTTGTCATTATGGGGTTTAGCTATGCTTAGTATTATTGTACCTCCGCATAGTAAAAAAAAAAAAAAAAAAAAGGGTGCATCTGCTTTGATTAATTACTGATCACATGAGCAGATTAAGCAAACATGCTAAAATGCTCATGGTGGATCCTCCAGCAGTGACGTCTGCGATCACTGAGAAACTTGTACCTTCCGTGGCTGTTTTGTGTCTCTATGAAGTGGTTTTGTGTCTCTCCGTGGCTATTTTGTCTCTCTCTGTGTTTGTTTCGTGTCTCTTTGAAGTGGTTTTGTGTCTCTCTGTGTTTGTTTCGTGTCTCTTTGAAGTGGTTTTGTGTCTCTCTGCGGTTGTTTTTTGTGTATCTTTGTTGTTTTCTGTCTCTCTGCGGTTGTTTTTGTGTCTCTTTGAAGTTGTTTTGTGTCTCTTTGCTGTTTGGTGACCCTTTGCGGCAATAATCCTTGACGTGACCTCGTTAAGAGTTAACAAACTTTGAGCTGTACAGTGGGACAGTGCAGCGTGTTTTCACTCCCAACTCGTCACCCGGTGTGTTTAAAAAGTGACGCCGAGGGGTCCTGACGTACGTGACGAGTTGTGAGTGAGAACGTGTCGGATAGAAAGGCTGAGTGATCTAGTCATATTACATTTTTTGAGAACGAGCAGAGAAGCTGAACCTGGAGCATATGGTGGACGACTTTCCGGTGCACAAGACTCAGGATGACGTTCAGGCAGGCGAGTATAACTAACTTATTGAATGCTCCACAGATGAGAATAGCAACCACGTTGTGTGTGTGCATGCCAAGCATTGTGTTAAAACTGTGCAGTCTCTTCTTTGCTTGGATATGTGTGATTGTGGCTGCAGCCACTGTGGCATTTATATTGTTATTACATTCACTTCTGTGTTCTCTGCCTTTGTGATATTTCATTCTGCTGTTGAGTCCATAAGAAGTCTATGGCTATTTCATTTCTTAATAATGCTTGTCGCTTGTTTTTATTTACTGTCTGTCCTTTATTGTTTGATTATCTGAGTTGTGTTTTTTTTCTAGTGAGGCTACACTGACTGTCAAAGGCAGTTGTATATTTATAATTAATAATACGTTGTATGCCGCAAGTGCAGTCTACAGAAAATTAACTTATTGTTGGTTATACATAGGGCTCCGTGGTGTGATGTTGTTCCACTAGTGTATCTGGACATTAATGCATTTCAGTGTAAACTCAGAGTACATTTTAACTGAACTACTTTTATCTGAATACACCTTTGTACAACTGTACCATCGTGTCATCGTTACATTTCTCTGAAACATTATTTTATTGTTACTATTTTATAAATATTTTATTCTATAGTGTTCTATTCTATTCTTTTTATTTGTCAGTTGCATTCTAGAGATAATCACAAAAGAATTTCACTACACGTTGTATTGTGTATGATTGTATATGTGACAAATAAACGCGATTTCCTTTGATACTTGGTAATTATTGAAGGTAACAGTACTTTTACTTGAGTATGACATTCTAGTTCTCTTCCCATCCCTGCTTGTACTTTACTTGAGTATTTCCATTTCATGGTACTTTTTATCATTCTGCTCCACTACGTTTCAGAGGAACATGTACTGTTTTACATGTATGGTAGAAGGTAATACATAACCTGAAGCATGCATGTACTAAAGCAATCGATTGGTAGAACACAATGGGGAGGGGGGGCCCAGAGCAAAATAGTCCATTTCAATGTAGCCCTTTGTAATGTGCTTTCATAAGATAGCTTTCATCTTTTAAAAAATGATGGTGACTCTGGAAAATGCAGCCACTAAATGTATTTTACTGGAAACAATATTGGCCTTTTGAAGGGGTTGTCTGATGCATACTAGCAGCAGTTCACCAACCCTCCATCGGAGGGCAGTCCCGTGCCGCTCACAAACTGTAGCCAGAATGTGGCCTCCTCCTTCAAATGCAGGATTTAGCATCCTCCCAGTTACCACCCAAGACCCGGGCACTCCCAAGCCTTCCCAGTGAGCAATGTATTTTTAAGGCATCATAATGTTGCAGAGCGGTGTCGAGACATCACTAAATGATTACGTTTCCTCAACACAAGGCGGTAATTAGCTTGCCACGCAAGACAACCGCATGTTCCCCTGAATGTCTGGATTTGGATGTATCTAACAAACCAAGCGTGTGATGTC